TGGTAGGAAAATATTTTACAGTCACTTTTTTTAAGATTTTTAAAAATTTATGTATACATACAAAAACTGGGGTGTAAGCCAAAGGTGCAGCGGGTGAGAGGGGAGCAGAACAGGTAGATCTACTGAAATACACTGCTGAGGGGAGCAGCGGGTGAGACAAGAGAGGTCTGCTGTGCCATGTGGATTAGCTCCCTGGCCAGGGATCAAATTCATGGTGATAGCTTGATAGCACCGAGACTTTAACCCCTTGCACCACCAGGAAGGCCCCTACAGATACTTTAAAAAAAAAAAAAAATTATGCATACAAGAACTGGGGTGCAAGCTAGAGGTGCAGGGAGAGTGGTGAGAGTATTCACCAGAAAGAGTGGGGAGCAGCACAGGCCTATCTGCTGAAACACACTGCTAAGGGGAGCAGCAGGCAAGTCAGGAGAGGTCTGCCGCACCATGTGGGTTGCTCCCTGGCCAGCCGGGATTGACTTGGTGCTGCAGTGGCTGTTGATCGCTTGATAGCGCTGTCTTTAACCCCAGTGCCACGAGGGAGGCCCCTCTACAGACACATTTTTAAGATTGCGTCTAATACTTTAAGAGAAGTCTATTTCAAATGATAGTAGAGGTTTTTGATTAAGGGTACTTTGTGCTATAGTTGAGCTTTCCTGCTAATGCTAGACAGATTTCCTCAAGCAGATTTATTTTCTTCTTCATGTATCAATCTTTATCATGACCCATTTGAATAAAATAAAATCGATTTTATTAATATAATGAAATATCTCTTATTCTCTTGCCTTCAAGGAGTGCATATTAGAAAAACTGTGGAACCTTGCACACATGGAAAGGTGGCAGGAAATTTGTGACAAATTGCCAAATTCATGGCAGTTTTAAGTGTTTAGAGATGTGAAATTTTATGAGAGTAAAAATAGACAGTTGCAGGGATAAGGTAAATGGAGTGAAACTTAAAATGTATTAAGAAAAATAAAATGAGGGCCTCCCTGTGGCGCATGGGAGCACCACACTATGAATCGATCCGCAGCCTCTGCAGCACGAGTTTGATCCCCAGCCGGGCAGGGAGAAACCCACATGGCGCGCAGCAGACCTCTCCTGGCTCACCCGCTGCTCCCCTCAGCAGTGTATTTCAGTCTGCCTGTTCTGTTCCCCACTTTGTCTCTGGTGAATCCTCTCATCACCACCTCCCCCGACCCCCGCATCTCTGGCCTATACCCCAGCTCTTGTAGGCATAAATAAATAAGTCTTTAAAAAAAAATGTAATGAGTTCAAGTCATTTCAGGAAGGTAACAGATGGTTCAGAGTGCAAAGAAAATCACCCTAGTGCCCTTGTTGCACCACTTTATTTTGAGAAAAAATTCATAATCAGTTCAGCTGGTACACAGGCAGGAATTTTTCAAGGTAACAGTCTTACTGGAATCAAATGATTATGTATGTGAATAAAAAAACATCATGTTGAGATCAGTTTGCAGAAGACTTTATACATATATGAGGAAGTTAGACTTTGTAGATAGGAAATATCTGGGTTTTGTTAATGGTAATGTAAATTCGTTGGACTGGTGTAGACATGTTGGGAGGGTAGCTTTGAAGGTAAAGATTTCTACTAATGTCTTATTTATGTTTCTATTTCACTTGTTAAATTATAACGTAAGTAGAGACTTCTGTTCAGTACTATATACTGAGCTCCTAAAACAGTGTGTGGCACATAGTAGGTATTTAATAATTATTGGTTGGATGAAAACCATTCAAGAGGCAAGTTTAATTACCCATGTTGGAGTCTGATAGCAAACAGAAGGAAAATATAACTGTTGACACAGGGAACTACTAGAACGTTGTATTTGCTGTGTTCCTTCTTAAGCGTTGACTAGTAGAATTGTTCAGAAGTTAGTGTTCGTTCAGCTCAGCAGGATAGTTGGGGCACATAGTATGTATTCATATTTATTTTAAAGCTTTTTATAATATGTTAAGTCTCAACTAGTGAACATTATTTTTTTCTCCTTTTTAAAAAAGTTTAATTCTGCTTCCAATTTATCGTTAACAATTTTTTTTAGTGGTGGTGACATCACTATTTTTTTTCAAGTTTATTTTATATATTTTTTACATCATTTTTCCTTTTTATACAAAGTATGCATTTTTATCTTGGTTATTGTCCCTGTAAAATTCCCACCCCCTTTGTTTTGATCTTATTCCCCCCCTCCACCCTGTACTATGTCTCTGGTTTATAGTTGTCTGTTGATTTTGATTTTTACTTTATTACAATTAGTCTTTTTCCTGATCCCTTATTTAGGTTTTCTAAATTCCTGCTATGAGTGAGACCATCCAGTGTTTTTCTTTTTTTTTTTCCTGGCTTATTTCACTAAGCATGTTCCCTTCCAGCTCCATCCATGTTGCTGCAAATGGCATGAGTTTATCTTTTTTTGATTGCTGAGTAATATTCCATTGCGTATATGTACCACATCTTCTTGATCCAATTATCTATTTTTGGGCATTTGGGTTGTTTCCATAGCTTGCCTATTGTAAATAGTGCTGCAATAAACATAGGGGTGCAGGTGTCCTTTTGAATTAATGTTTTTGTGTCCTTTGGGTTATTATTATTTATTTTAATTTGTTTTCTTACATCATTGTTAATTTTTGTACAGTATTTGATTTCTCCCCTTAGGTGTAGTTACTGTAGTTCTCCCACCAACATAGCACCTGTAACCCACCTCCACAGATCTCCCCTGTTTTGACCCCTCTCTCTCCTCACCCACTGCTGCATGCCCCAGAGTTATGCTTAGCTTGGAAGTTTTGTCTTTTTCCTGACCCATAATGGTTTCTAGTGAGCATTATTTTTTGGTTAATTACTTTAAAAGGGAATGATAATCTTTTTCTGTAGTGTTTGTTTTAGTGACAAATCATAGTATATATTTCATTGTAAATGTAATTTCTATCCATTTTTCATAGATTCCCTCTTCTAAAAATATCTTGTCTTAATTTGTGTATACTGCTTTGTAGTTAGCAGTCTGCTTTAACTCTTATTTAATTCTTAAACTAAGTTTATGTGAAGTTAATAGGAATTTTTATCTCATATGAGAGTCGGGGGAAAGGGTTAAGAGTGATTTAGCCCCTAATTAGGTAGTTAATTAATTTTTAGAAAAGTGATTTTATCCCCAAATCACATGTATGATACATGATTAAATTTTAATTTTGAGTTAAATGTAAAGAGTATTGAATATTTGCAAGATGAAACACTGGAATTAGAACTGGATTTTAGTCCTGGTTTCACATGTAATGACCTGGTGATTTTAGGCAATTTCTATAATCTCTTTATGGCCTCAGTTTCTTTGTTGTAAAATAGGCATACCTACTTTAATTAGTTCCTCTAGGTTCCACTATACATTATGGTAGCTATTTGCCACACGTCGCTATTTAGCACTCCTTTTTATATGATACCTGTTATTTTTATATTATTTACATACCGAAGTGATAGTATTTTGGATATGTTGAGTTAAATATATTACTGAAATGTTACCCATTTATTTTAACTTTGTAACATGTGTCTCCTACAACATTTTAAATTATATATGTAGTTTGCATTTTATTCCTAATGGACACTGCTGCTGTTCTAGACATGGAGTTGTCAAGCTCCAAACCCAGTCAGATGCCTATTTTTGTTAAGTTTTGTTGGAACATATTCATTTAGTTGTTACATATTGTGTAATATATGACTACTGTTATCCAATAGCTACAATTGTGTGATTGCTACATGTAGTCCCACAAAGCCTAACCTATTTACTATTCGGTTCTTTATAGGAAAAGTTTGCTGCTGTAGTCTGTAATTGACAGATGCTAAGTGTGTTATGTTTACTTAGGCGTGAATATGATAGAGACAGACAGAGAGACAGAAAGTAAATTAATGGTGGATGCCAGTGGATAAAAGTTAGTAGACCGTGACTTCTAATAAGTACAGGATTTTGAGGGGGTGGGGGGATGAAGAAAATATTCTGGAATTAGATATGGTAGTAATTGTACAACTTCAAATATACTAAGAATATTGGATTTTATACTTTAAAAGTAAATATAATGGCATACCAATGATATTTCAATTTTTTTAAGTGAATATGAGTCTGTATATAAAATAGTACATTAAATATTACACATGTGAGTGATTAATGAGAACCTGCAAAGAAACAATGTAGATAAACTATGGAGAAAGTAAAAACTTTTTAAAATAACATATTTCTGTTGTCTAAGAAAATTTTTAATGGTCTTTAAGAAGTCATGTTACTTCAGAATATTTGAAAGTTCTTTACTATAGGAAAAGCAGTTGCATGTCATTTACTGCTTACCCATAAAAAAAGATTTATCAAGATATATATTCTCTTTAGTTATTAAATTTAAGATAATGCACAACAATGTATTAGCCAATCTCAAATAAATATATGAATACAAAGCATAGATAAAAACACTTATGAATATTTCTTCTCTTCCGGAAATACTTAGCTAAATATAGAAATAATGACTTTATGAACTTATAATTTTTAGCAAGCTTTCCAGAGGAGGAAATTAACAGAAAGGAACTTGAAAACTACTCCAAAATATCCATATCTTGAACATGTGTAGGTGTTTATTTGTGATGTAAGTTAGGATAGCAGGATGTCTTAAGGGCACAGATTTTGGAGCAAGACAAAACTACTTCCTAATGACAACTCCATCATTTACTAACTTAATGTGACCCAGATAGCCTGTTTAATACTCACCATCTCTAAGTCTTCATTTCCTCATCTTTGAAATGGGAGTGATACCTTCTCCAATGAGCTTTCCATGGAATAAATAAGAAATAAGTGTAAAATACGCAGCAAATAAATGGTGACATATTACTATTGCCATTCATGTTTACTTTTTTAATCAAACATTACTTTTTTTGATTGTCAGCACTATACATTTCATATGTATTTTACTGACTTTTACCTTTATAAAAACATAATGAAATATTAAGTAACATTCTATTTTACTTTCAGTCAAAGAAAAATAAGAAGAAATCAAAGTCAGATGCTAAAGCAGTGCAGAACAGTTCACGCCATGATGGAAAGGAAGTTGATGAAGGTACTTGAGCAAGTGAAAAGGACTATAGAAAAATTTTTCTTTTTTATCCCAATGCATTATATAAAAGTTGCATTTGTTTCACTTAATCTCGTATCTAGTTTTTTTAAATAATACAGATTTTAATGTACAGATCTGTGACATTGTTAGAAAATACTTTTTGAATATAAATTATTAAGCATACAACAGTTCTTTTCCTGAAGGGAACTGCTTTGAAATTTAAGGTATAGCTTAATATCTTGAGCAGTTGAGAAGTCATTTGTTTTGTCTCTGTTTTCTAAAAGTTTGATTTGGGTTTTTTTCCCCATTCTTAAATATATCATGCAACACTGTCTTGTTGTTTCTAATCAGCAAGATAAAAAAATATTCAAGATGATTTATATCTGTAATTTTTTCTAAACCATAGATACAAGATTTGATAAAAATTACCAGAATAAATAATGGTAGTTATTTGCTTAAAGCAATATAATAATAACAGGAAAAATTCTTAGTATAATTTAATAAGCACTTTTTGTTTTTAGTTTAATATCTAAATTTATCCTAATATTTTGTCTACCTGCCATATCTCCCCCTCAAAAATGAAACAAAATAAAACAAAAAAACAATCTTTTTGTCTTCCCCTTGCTGAATAACATTTTTTTTTCTGGGGCTATGTCAGGAGCCTGGGAAACTAAAATTAGTCACAGAGAGAAACGACAGCAGCGTAAACGTGATAAGGTGCAGACTGATTCTGGTTCATTGGATTCAACTATCCCTGGGATAGAAAATACCATCACAGTTACCACCGAGCAACTTACAACTGCATCATTTCCTGTTGGTTCCAAGAAGAACAAAGGTATATTAGTGGAACATAAGAGTGATACATCAAATCCAACTCCTTTTAAACAGATGTACAAAATATCATTATGTCAAAATCTGACTCTTTTGAACTGCTTAACATCATTGTGCTGATATACCCTTCTTCATGAGAGCATTGCTGACCACGTACCGGCTTACCTGATTCCAACAGTTAACTTGTCACGTGCTGCCTAATGAATGGCCTATTAAATAATAACTAAATTGCTTTTCTGCCTTGAGTCATATGAGAAAATGCTTCTTTTTCCTCATGTATATTGCTTTACCCCAACGCTCTTACATCTCCATTTCTTACAGTAAACATCATTAAATGTAATTAGTTGTTCCCATTTTGCATGTTGGGTGCTTTCATTCCAAGATGAATGATGAAGCAAAGCATGTTCTGGGTAATGCAGGTTCTAGCTGGATTTATCACCCCAACTTTTTGAGAGGGCCTTAGACTACACTAGAACTTAAAGGTTGTAGAGCTAATATTCTTCCCTTGTATTTCAAATGCTCAAACTGACCAATATTGATGGCTTCATTGCAACTTTTTACATTGCCATCAGTTTTACCCTGGAGACAACAGTCTGCAAAGTGAAGCTGTTCAATTTGCTTTCAAGGTATTGACTTATCTCCCTTGACCATTTAATTATCTTCCCAACTTCCACCTTGTCTCCAGACCACTTTCTTAGCCTTGGAAACTTTTACTTTTTTGCTTGATGACTTGGTGGAATTTATTGCTATGGTACAGCAATGACTTCTACTTACTCATTTTAACTGTTACAAAATAGCCATGCTTTATTGTTTTTGTTGGTGACCTCTTTTCTCTGTCTTGTGCATGCCTTCCTTGCTAGCACAATCCTGTGTCTTGCTAGCTTTGGAATACATTGTAGTCATCATTATGCTTTTTAGTGTCAGAGAAATACTATATCTGTTATTACATTTATTCTCACCTCTTGCCATATTTCCTAAGTCCTGGTCTCAAATGCTGGCTAAGTTCTTAAGTTGGTGTGTTTGCTTCCAGGATTGTTGAAAGGCAGCTGGTATTGTTGAGAGGTGGCAAAGTTGAATCCAATTACAGAGCCCAGTTCTCCAGTTCTCCTAATTAAAAGACTCTTGATAGTCATTATAGACCAGCAGTTTCTCTATATATTTGGGCAATTTTCCAGGATCTTTATTGGCATTTCAGTTGACTGAGACTGCAGTAATTAGATAACATAACTCAGTTCCTTTAGGACATGTGAAATATGTTGTCAGTAAAATGGACATTTTTCTATTGTAAGAATTTAGTGGTAAAAAAGCAATTTGTTTTAAATAGTAAATAAAATTTAATTTGTATGTTACTCCTAATTTAACATGCATAGTGTCCTATTAGCATTAAATAAATTTTATTTCTATTTCAACCAGGTGATTCTCATCTAAATGTTCAAGTTAGCAACTTTAAGTCTGGAAAAGGAGATTCTACACTTCAGGGTGAGAGAAATTACATGTAACTTAAATTGAAGGCCCATCAAAGCAGAAACTTATATTCATGTCTCTTTCCTCACATGAATGACACAGAAGAAAAAAAGGCTTAAAAATGATTTTTAATTACTAAAGTAACATAAGCACAGTCCAGAGATTTTGGAAAATAGATAAAAAGAAAAATCACTCCCACTTCTAATAGTCTTTGGTATGTTCTAGTTGTTCTTCTCTCCCCTCTTCCCCTCCCCCATATAGAAAAACATTCTTTCAGTAATAGTTTATATGTAATTTTAATTCTTGTTTGCATCATTTAAGCAAGAAAGAAAAAGTTTTTGGGGGGATTGGGTTTAATATAGGCCTATATGGGATTAAAAAAAACTTAACCCCTAATTATTAAAAAAAATAGCCTTAATAAACTATTTTAAACAAGTTCCTTAATAGTATTAAGTATTTCGCAATAAATGGACAGTAGTCTTAAGGTTATATAGTGCTTCACAAATAGAGAATGTATTTTATTTACTCATTTATGAAAAAGTGAAATTAAGTAGCATGGTATACATTACATGAAAACAAAAGTAAAACATAAATTCAGAAATGAAAAAAAAACCTTCTCATTTTAGGCTTGTTCTTAACACTGTCTGCTTCCTTCATCCCCATGGTTCTCAATCCTGGCTACACATTATAGTCATCTAGGAAGCTAGAAAAACAACACACACTAACACATATAAAAGTCATAAACACACGTACTCCTGTGTATATTTGTATGTATACACACATTCAGCTGTGTGCATATACCTTCATATGAATATATACTCATACATCCTGATGCATGGGGCTGACCTATCAGTATCTTCTTTTAAGAAATTTTTCAGTTGATGTTAATGTGCAGCCAGGTTTTAGAATCACATAAAATATATCCATAAATATTTAAAGAAAGAACATGTAATTAAAGAGAAGTCTTTATGTTCTTAGTGGGTAAGTATTCTGAATATAACAGAATATGATATTTTCCTATATGCTCTGTTTTACTTCCTTTCAGGCCATCATTTGGCTGTTGAAAACATCATTAGTATCTGTGTTAAAAGTTCAAACCTACTCTTAATTTTTAAATTAAAAGTCATCCATGGTAGTCATGTCACTTTTTAAATTGTTCGCGTCTGTTTGAAAACTCACGCTATTTAGAGGATGGGTTGAGGCATGGATGATAACTATAACTGAGTAATCATAGAAATTTTAAAATATCCCAGTTTTAGCAAAGAGTCATCTTTCAATTTTTAATCTTTTTTTTCTTTTCTCTAAGTTTCTTCAGGATTGAATGAAAACCTCACTGTAAATGGAGGAGGCTGGAATGAAAAGTCTATAAAACTCTCCTCACAGATCAGTGCAGGTGAGGAGAAGTGGAACTCTGTCTCACCTACTTCTGTAGGAAAGAGGAAAACTGAGCCATCTGCTTGGGTTCAAGACACTGGAGATGCTAATGCAAATGGAAAAGACTGGGGAAGGAGTTGGAGTGACCGTTCAATATTTTCCGGGATTGGTAAGAACTGTTAGAGAATGTTAAGTTCATTTAAAATTGTTTATCTGGTGCATTTTGAATTTTCCATGAATAAAAAAAGGAACCATGAGTAGAAAAGTTAGTAATGTCATGTAGAAATGTTATTAATAAATTAACACATCACAAATCCTGCACATGGTGCAAAGTGGCAACTAAAGTGAACAGTAACGTTTATTACTTTTAGTGCCTTCAAATACTTTATCACGTGATTATCAGTATATCTCACTAGTATAATTGTATTTTTAGTTACGTAATAAATATTTTCTGTGAACAGACTTTTAGATTATTTTCAACAGTTCTACTGTTGAGTTTAAATAATAATAATAAATAAAAATGATTAAAATGCAGTTTTTAGCATCCATTTATATACTATTTTACAATCTACAAAATGCCTAATTGTAATTAATTTTTACCCCTGGAATTAAAGACCATTAGTTGAAAACTTATTTCTGTTGAGAGCTATCAAGTTAAAAGCAACTTAGTTTCAGGTGTGTGTGTATGTTATAGAAAAGTAATTAATGTTAATATAGAAAACAGCAAAAGGAGAAGGAAAACCACTGTTATCATACCACCCAGTGACAACAATTGTATTTTAATTATCTTTATGGACTTCTTCCCCTGTGTACAGTTTTGATACTTTTTTTTTTTCCATAATCCTCATACATAATCCAAATAAGCTAGGCATTTTTATGTTTCCTTCCTCTTTGTAAGTATTTTTATTTTATGGCATATTGTGTAAGGGTAGTATAGATTATTTAATTCTCCAATATTCATTTTTTTCTATTTTTAACCATTGTAAATATCATTGCATTGAATATATTTTGTTTAGGATTATTTCTTTAGGATAGATTCTTGGGAGTGATACTGGGCTGAAGGGAATATGGATATTTATAATGCTTTAGGACTATTATCAAAATATTTGCTAAGAGAGTTCCAATTTATACTGTCAGCATCAGTATGAATGCCATTTATGATATGTGTGCCAAGGTTGGGTAGTCTCATTTTTTTTTAATATTTTCTAATTTGACAAGCAAAAAGTAAACTATTTTGGTTAACTTTTTAAAATCACTGATGAAGTTGAATATTTTTCATAACTTTCTTAATATCTGTTTCTTTTAAAGTTGTCTATTAATGTTCTCTGTCCATTTGTCTAATGGCCTCTTACTGTTGTTTTTTAATTAAGTTGGATTACTCATAATTACTCTGCATTACTCATAATTTTTTCTGTTATGCTTGTTGCGGATTTTTGAATTTCTTTTAGTTTGGGAGGGCAATAGAACAATACAATACAGAGCTTTTTGTGCTTAAATAGGAAAGAAAACTGTTCCTTCCTATGTAGTTTATTTTTCTCATCACTTTTAAGCTCTTAGACTCATTTTGACTAATGTCCCCAAGAAGCAAACTCTAGATCATTTATTAGTATTGTTCTTGAACTTGACCTTTTCTCCCCTTGCAGTGTCCAAAAATTGTGTAAAAATACCAGAATTTGTTTGGAGGAAGAGATAATCCCTGAATTCCCAACATCATTTTTAGCGCTAAAGAAAGCATACATTTCTATGATGTAAAGAAAGCATCCTTTCACATTTAATAAAAGGCTGAATTTTATTGAAGAATGTTACTAAGACCTTTTGAGATATTTACAGTTTCTTATAAAAGCTATGTAGTATTTTCAGAATTAGTATATAAATTAGATGGTATTTGCTTAATGTTTCTACAGACAAAATTAAGGATCAGATTAGATAGTTAATTCCTTCCTAGATGGGTTAGCAAAATTGAAAGGGAACTGTGTTAGGTTTACATTGACTCATTGAGAAGATGTAGGTATAACTGGTCTCATTGATATATATGTTCTTAAAATACTCATAAGAAATAAACCTCCGGAAAATGTTGAAATGGAATGAGCATGGACTAGTTGAGGCAGTCCTCTTTGCTATGAATCCCATTTCTCCCCAAATACTAGCTTTTATAAAAAGAAAACAGGCTTGTTATTTAACCTGTTGGAACGTCCTATTTAAGTAGTTGTGAAGATTGACTGTAATGAATGTCAAGTACAAGTGCATGGCCCAAAGAAGTAGCTTGATTATAGTAGATAATAAGACAGTTTGCTATAAGATAGGGTTTTGGAAATTGACTCCACTTCCAGCCATGGCTCAGCTGTTTGCTAGCTATCAAAAAGTCACTTAATGACTATTCTGAAACTTGGAAGAAAAGTGGTTGGCGTAAGGAGCCCAGCACATAATAGATAGTCAGTAAATATTAGCCTTTGCTCTATTAAGTGGTTCTTATTTCTAAGCTTATCTTTAAATATTGTTATCATAGTGTTAAATCTGTACATATCTGTCAAGTTTCATTGCAAATTGAAGGTTCCAAGTGACGTTCTTTATTTTAACAGCTGCTTGGTCTAGTGTGGATAGGGGAATGAATACCTCTGAACAGAATTCTGCTTCTTTTGCATCTCTCACACTTAACTCTGCTGTTTCTGGTATGTGAAAATGGTCTTTCATTTAGTTAACAAAAACATTTCTGTTTAATTTTAGCACTTGCTATTTGGAAATTAACGAACATCAAGTACTGCTATCAATATAATAGGTATATCATATATAGAGTGCAGAGGCCTTAATAAAAGAGGGAGAAAGAAAGAACTAAATTTATACCTGCAGGTAGCTCAGTTCCTTTCTATAATGAAGACAGAAAGATTCTGTGATCTAAAGTAACTGAAAGTATATTGTACACAGACAATGCAAATAGAAGGCCTTCCCTAAAGGTCATGAAGCTTTTTTGTCATCAGTTTTCTCTTACCATACTTCTCCTTGCCCTTTCTCATCATGAGTTTATAGCTAACCTTTCAGGTTTTGTGAACCTTCACATAATATCTCTGCTTTGAGTATTTCTCAATCACTTGATTTAGAAAGTACACTATTACTAATAAACTATAAGTTCAGCATTACTTAAATGGATATGCCTTTTATTAATCATATTGAAGCTATATATTCTTAACAAATATTTCGTAAACATGGGGCATTTTTAGTTTGTAATACTTGGTTCACATGAATTCATGAACAAACCCAGGGTACTAAATTGTAGTTATACAGTAACTTGAGTTACCAGTCTAGAATAGGAATCAGCAAACTTTTTCTGTAAAGAACCCAATAGTAAATATTTTAGGCATTCAGCCATATTGTTTGTACTGGAACAACTTAATTCTGCCTTGGTAGCAAAAAGAGCAGCCAGATATGATACATAAACAGATGAATGAGTGTACCTGGTTCTGATAGTATTTTGAATTCTTTTCCAATCATTTAAGATTGTAAAAACTTCTTGGTTCATGAGCCATACAGTAAATGGGTGGCTGAATTTCACCTGTGGGTTGTAGTTTGCCAACCCTTGGTTTCATAGATTACATTTCAGTTCCAGAGGTTCTAGTTAGTGGCCTCCTTTATTTGGTGATTTTGTGTGACACATAAGCTGTTACCTTAATATATCTGAATATACTCAGAAAAAGCTGTATGGGCTGCTAAAGAAATAACTGTAGTGTTACTGTAATACTTTTAAGCAGTTTAATTGTCAACTATGTATAAATTTAATAGGATTTCTCTATTAAAATTTATGTAAATATATAACATGAATATATATCAAATAGTTATATTAGTAGAATGCTGATAAAATCTTCTATGGCTAAGTTATTTTGTTAGTAAGGACTTTGATGAGATGTGATTGTATGTAGGTCATTTATACTAACAGATGTTCTTCTTAACCATTTTTTTATGTCAGTGACTCTGAATCCAAAATGAATATCAGAGTCACCTAAGGGGTCCAATACACACAAAAATTCTGATTCAGAAGGTCTGTGATATATATATTTCCCTGATGGAGAACCACTGCTTTTTTTTACCTTTATGTTTTAAAATGAATGTATGGTTATAGTGAAAAGGTTTTGACCTGGCGTCCATTATCTTGTATGCCCCCAAAACTATATACAAAATTTGGGTAAGTTCTGAACATTAGTCCACCACAGCTTCATTTCAATGGAATGTTTGACACACACACCCTGCCCTTCCCTTTTCTTACTTACTACCCCCAGAAAAGAAAAAGGAAAAAAAACTTAGAATCTAATTTCTCGTCTCTTTAAATACACCTGAATTGAACTTGGTTTGTAAGCCACTAGCATAGTTCTTATCTCTTTGACCTCTCTCTGTCTCACCTCTAGAAAATCATCTATTTCTTTAACTTTTCCTTAGGCAACAGGTTCTAGCAGACTGAGACATTTTCTAGTTTTCTTTTTCAGGGTTCTAAGGGTATAGCTATACCCTGAAACACTCAGGATTCCTTTTGTGCTTTACTATTTTCCATTAAGAAGAAAAAACAAAACAACTTTTTTTTTTACTTCTTGAAATTCATAGATAACCAGATTGAACTATATATTATTATATGTTATAACAAAAATCTAATGGATTCATACTAGGGAAAAATATATATTTCCTCATCAGTTAGAGCAATACTTAATCTGAAATTATCCTCAATTCACTTTTCCTTTATCTTAACTCTTTTTCTAATGTCTGAATTTTTCTTTTAGGGGAAATAAAAAATAATTAAGTCTCCATGTGCAAAGTATAGAACTATTGTTGTGAAACATCATTAGAAAATTCCATTTTTAATTTTATTGCATTCGTTTTCATTTAAGGGTCTACTGCTGAGCCAGTTTCTCAGTCTACCACTTCTGATTATCAGTGGGATGTTAGCCGTAATCAACCCTATATCGATGATGAATGGTCTGGGTTAAGTATGTCCTTTTAAAAATTATCAGTTTTTCTTTTTTTTTTTTTTCCAGAATTTTCTTTCTAGCACCCTAAATTCATGCTTTATGTTTTAATTTAATCCTAATTTCTCATCTTTTAGGTTATAGTGATACAATTTAATATCAAATGTAATAGTAAATTGATGAATATAGAATTAAATCTACATTCACTTTTCATGATTGAGGCAATATTTAAAGAATATTTTTTTATAGTTACTCTGTAGTTTTTAAAACTTTTGCTCTAAATAAATGCTCTTTTTCTTCCTAGTTTTAATATAACAATATATAGAATGGATTTGCAAGGTATGCAATTATTTTTTTTTTTTTTTTTTTTTTTTTTGTAGAAGAGCATTTTCTTAGTATAGTTTGCTATTGGAGCATAGAAAGGCTAAAAAGAAGAGTCCTGAAAATGAGAAAGGAGGAAAGAATATGGTTTTTACGTTCAGAAAGCTCATACTATCTTCATTTTTTAAAATATCTTTGCTATTTTCTTCCCACAACCTGAAACCTTATAATTTTTATGGCACATTCTTTTGTACTATTTATTTAGCTTTTCTATGTTATAGAACTTCTGTTTTAGACTTTGTAAAAAAGACTGTGTTTTGTTTCCTCAAGTACAGTTGAGACTGAAGATAGAAACTCATACTCTTGTATCTTCAGTCCTTAGTACAGCAGTACATACACAGGCATTGGTAGTGATAATGATAATAAAAGCAAGTATTTGCCTGTACTAGGCTCTGGTCTAACTCTTGTGCATACTGCTAACTTATTTAGTGCTTGTAACAAGTCTATGAATTAGGAATTATTTTTTCCACACTTCCCCAAAGAAACTGAGGCAAAATTGCCTAATTTCCCTAGGCCACACAGCTAGTCAGTCAAGGAAATGATATCAACTATGGTAGTCTGTCTCCAGAGGTCATGCTCTTCACCACATTACAGCCTTTGTGGTGATTATAATCATGAAAGTAAGCTTTTAACACAAAACAGATTCATCAATAACCACTCTCTATATAGATTAGTTGAAGCACATTTCTTACAGATTAGGGAGTTGAGATTGGAAAGGTAAATTAAGGAAAGCCATTAGTAAAAAGTCTCGAATTGCTGACTTGAAGATTAGGGAGCTGGGAGTTTGAGTACTAATTTAGAAGGTAGATTCTTATTCTAATGATGTCTTTAAAACACAGTACCTCATATTGCTTGAACTTTGTGTCTTGGAATCTACATTAGTTGAGCTGTAAAATTAGAGCAAATAATGTCATATCTACTGCATCAGGCACTTAGGTTTTGATGAGGTGTAATGAATGAACATGAACATTCTTTGTAAATTAAAATATCGTATAAATCCAAGGTATTACAAAGCATGTGAAAGTAATTTTTAGAAAGAAATAATCTTACCTGTTGAGAAGATAGATTATCTGTGTGAAGAATAAAATTGAGTGATTATAGAATAATAGGAGTGATTATAATATGAAAAACACAATTTGTGGCCAAAATAAAGATTGAAAATCAGTATATCCACAGGACTCTGTACTTAAAGTAATATGCATCAGGAACACTGTCTTCCTCAAGTTTGTTAATGCTGCATTGCTAGTCTTTCAAGTCTAAAGTTTCTTTTGACTTCATTTTCTCTGTGAATTTTATTTTTTGTGTTATGTTTAATGTAGCTAACTTTGATAGTTAATTGTAAAAATATAGAGTATACGATTCAGTATTTGAGATTACTGATTCACAAAATATGTTTTTGCTTTACACTTACTGTGAAATATGACTACTATACTGACCCTCTTATTTGAGACATAGGCATTATTATTTGACAAAAAGGCATTGAATTTACCCAAGCACTTGGATATAAGATTATGATGCTGAAAATAAGATAACATTTTTTCAAAGGCAGAAATTTAATCTTTCAGTTTAATCTTGACCATAAAAGAATAATATCATCATAACCCCTGTAAAAATTCAGATGTTGAATAGAACTTTGTTTTTGTTGGCACTCCAGAGTGAATGAGTTAGCTGCATCACAGTGAAGGGCTGAGAGCATGATCTTTTGAGGACAGACTGCCTGGGTTTGAATCTTACCTTCCTTGCCTTTGCTCTTAGGGAGTGTATATGATAATTTACACCTCACTTTTACTTCTGTAAAAATAATAGTCGTTCTCACACAGAACTGTTGAGAGAGTTAAATGATACAAAACACTTGGTACATAGTAAATAATTCAGTAAGTGCTATGGTGCTATTGTTGATTTTCTTTTTACTCAGCAAGGTTAGTTAGTGTTGTGTATTTAAACACTGAAGAATGTCTTTCTAATTTGTTTTTGTTTTATTAAAGTTAATGCTGAATTAAGTTCTGACAAGAAACAGCTGACAACCATTTTCCTACTGAAGTAAGATAGAGACTAGCAATGTGATACATAAACCTAAAAAATTCCACGGCAAATTAAATGGATGATAAAATCCTTATCATTTTGATAAAGAAGCTGATGACTCTTTGAAAAGACATTGACAGACTAATGGTAGAGTTTTGAGAAATTATTCTAATTATAGAGAGAATTATATGCTGTGCATAATTTTAAAAGAAACTACATCTGAGAAGTTTATTCCCACATTCAGCCGATGAATCTTAAGAATTATGCATTGAGAAGTCTCCCAATAGTCTTTATGTAGAGATGATCGGCGTGCTGCTTTTAAATTATTTTTATTTGATCACAGTTATTTTAAAAAACAAACTTGAAATCAATAAACCTGGAAAAATCATCATTGGGCTTCAAAAAGCCAATAAGGATTTGTGCTTCTGCCAATTTTCATGTAGAAGTTAAACAACAGACTACAGTTGTACTCAAACTTTGTGACTCTCTGAACATTTTTAAGAATGCTTTTACTGTATGCCTTACTAGGTCTTTATCCATCCCTTTTTCACCATTTCTATTAAGAAAATAGTTTTTATATTTTTATATATTTGGTAAACGAGTCTAAAATAATTTTTATGTGTTGCCTAAACTTTTACATAATCTCTTCTGTCTAGAGGTCTTAGAAACCTGGCTGGTAGACCACAGTGTTCCAAATCTAGGTGTTTATTTGTAAGGTCTCGGCAAAACCAATAACTCCTTTGGCATTTAAATCTCTTAATGCCATTGTTAATGAATATTTGGTGTAAGATGAGCAATTGATTCCAGATATATAGATTACTTTATGCTTGTAAAAATGATTTCTACATTAAGACCTCCCAAGTTTATGTTATTGAGAGATTTATCAGGATTGTGAGAAATAAATTCTTAATAACATATCTTGAAAGCTTATAAACTGGCTTTTTTCACCTTTGGATTTAGATGACTTATTGACAATGGAGAAGAGAGTTAAGAGAAGTACTAAAATAAAAAATAATAATGGGCAGAGTAAGTAATTTCCAAAAGTTCCAACACTGCAATATCAGTAATAATAATACTGAAATCCTCTATAGACATCCAAAGTTTTCAGTAGTCTCAATTTCTTTTTATTTTCCTTTAAAATGCAAGTTCAGGGCCTCCCTGGTGGCGCAGCCACACTGTGAAGCTGTCCTCAGCCTCTGCAGTGCTGGTTCGATCCCTGCCGACCCCTGCTGCTCCCCTCAGCAGTGTATTTCAGTCAGTCTGCCTGTTCTGTTCCCTGCTCTGTCTCTGGTGAATCCTCTCACCATCCCACACATCTGGCCTGTACCCCGGTTCTTTTATAAATAAATCTTTAAAAATAAAAAAAATAAAATACAAGTCCAATTTCTAGTAATAGTGAAGGAGCCTGATTTGCTTTTAAGAACCATTTTCCAACCAAGTTCGCTGGCGTTCACTGGCTTTCATTTACATACTAATGAAATGTAAAAGTTGAGATCTCAACACTGTTGACACTTAAAACCACTTCAAAGGAAAAGGGTATCATTTGAAAGTGAAGAGAATTGGAACAAGTGTGAAAAAGCTAAGACCTCACAGTCTCTTTTCTTAAAAATTTGACATTTACTATTTTCTATCAAACCCATGAATGGTGGCGATAGAATCCTTTTTTTTTTTTTTAACATTGGTTCACAACACTGGATGTGATTTAGGGGTATAGTTCACATCTAGGTTACAACACCACAGCACACCCACTACAAAGGCACCAATAATCCTCTACTATAGCCCATTTAAGCTGACTTTCTAATGTTTGATGTCATGCATGATACCTCAGAACAATAGGAACCTTTTATTGAAAACATAGTGCATTACTGTGAATTTCATATAGTCCTCTCAGCAGCTCATGAAGTTGGTATATACTTCATTTAGATTAAGGAACTACCAAAATTTCAGTTATTAAGTAGAACAATATTCTGATGTAGATCTGTTTGACTGAATCTAAGGCCCAGGCTCTTAACTTCTGTGTTTATACTGTGCATATAATACTGGCTCTAGATACCTCCTTGTGCTAATGAAATTTTGGAAATGTAGGCAGGAACTTCCTCTTTTTTTTTTTTTTTAAGATTTATTTATTTATACAAGCACTGGGTATAGTCAGAGTGCGGGAGGGTGAGAGAATTCACCAGAGTCAGGGGAACAGAACAGGCAGACTGACGCAGTACACTGCTGAGGGGCGCAGTGGGCGGCAGGAGAGGTCTGCGCGCCATGTGGGACCCTCACCCAGTGGCCAGGGATCGAACTGGCGCTGCAGAGGCTGCAGGCCCAAGGAATTTCCTCTTTTGTAACATTTTTCAGACTTGTTATTGGTTGTTCCGTATTTTTCCTGCACTAGATTATAAATTATTGCTTATGTTTTCAACCTTTCCCCATCCTCTACTGATTTAGCCTTTCTAACCTTTCCACATCCCCTGTGACACAGTCTGTCACTGTGCACTTAATTAGCTATTGTACTTACCTGTCTCCATCCCAGAATAGACAAACTATGTGAAGAGGGATTATATCATACTCATTTTTATATTTCTGATTCTTTCCTAGCTCAAGTTCTGGTATACATAATAAATGCTAACAAGGGTAATAGATTAAATCCCTATTATTCCACTATTAAGATATATCAATTTTTGATGTTTTGTTCCTCGTAAATTTAAAGTCATATCATGCAGACAATTTTGTTCATGATTTTTTTTCCTGTAGTTTTTTCCCCCCATATTATATATTATTTCAAAATACAGGTTTTAAAATCTTTATGGGGATATATCATAATACTTTTCCTTTAAGCAAAAGTCTAAGAGTTTACCTGGAAAAACAAGAATAGCAAACAAAACAAGAGTAATACAAGGCAGATTTCTCACTCTAAATACTAAAATGTATTACAGTTAGATAATTGACACTTGTATTTTGATAAAAATAGCATTTGACATTAGTGGGGAAAGGTTGGATTTTTAGTAAATGGTTTATTAGTATGATTTGTTTTACGATTTCAAAATGAAACTCAGTGTTATCATCTTAAACCAGTATAACTGAAACCTAGTTATATTAGACATTACAGGCATGCATATGGTAATAATATATGATGTCTGGGGGAGAGGAGGGAAAAATTAACTTTGAGAGTTACTTATTAAACCCTAGGATAAAGCCAAAGAATGTTTTTTCCTTTTAAAATAAAGCAGTGATAGCTCCCCAAAGGAGGTAAGATGCAGTGCCTCTTATATTGAAAGAAAGACATTTGGAAATCTGACGTTAAAATTTATTCTTGAGAATAGGATGCTTTTTGCCCTGACTCAAAAATTTTGAAATCATTAGATAAAAGAAGCATTGAATAATCTAAAACATCTAAGAAAGTATAAGTTATGTTTTAAAAGAAGAGGTGAAAAAGAAGTTAGATATTGTCATGACTTGATGAATTTAAAGAAGAACCTAATATTAAAGCTAAAGAGGAAGAAGTATAGTATAAAATTTCATTTTATATTATAGGGAGTATATTAAAAATTGATTCTATTCCCTACAGAATAAATCAATTCCACAAAAGTTGTAATAATCATGGGGTGAAATACAACCAGGCTTTAGACTAAATTAGAGTTGGACATTGAAAAGAGAACAAACTCAAGAAACTGATAACAAAAGAAGTAGGAAGTGTAGAATTAAATGAGTAATTCATAAGTCTTATGGAGTTTCTTAGAAATTCCATTTTATTAGCCATATGATGTGCCTAGTAGATGTTGAATAGAGGTTTTTACTATCATGTCACTGATTTTTTTCCTAGCTTTTAAAATGTACTTGGGAGAAAGAAGAACAATAGTTTAATCTTAAACTTAGTTCATCGTGAAGAATTTTAGTTTTTACATTTTAGTTTATGACAGAAATGATAGATGCCTAATTCAGACTGTTAACTTTTAGATGGTCTGTCTTCTGCTGATCCCAGCTCTGATTGGAATGCACCAGAAGAAGAGTGGGGTAATTGGGTAGATGAAGAAAGAGCTTCACTTCTAAAGTCCCAGGAATCAGTTCCTAATGATCAAAAAGTGAGTAAAGGGATTGGTGGATGTATTGATTTGTCTGTGCGCTCAACTATGTTAGAATTGTTATTAGAGGTTACATTTTACTTATAAATATCCAGTGGTAGAATTGCTTTGTAAAGGCATTATTATTATAATTGCTTCAATCATCATGCACTGCGTGCCTTCTTTGTATCAGTAAAACAGCATGGTTCTGTCCTGAAATCCTAATTGTTATATTGTTATACTAGCTTACTAAAACTTAAAGTGTATTTAGAGAAGACTAGATTGGTTCCCAATGAAAGATTAAGAAAAGTTTCATGTCAATAGCAAGACTGAGAACATCATGAAAACAGCACGGGGGCAAGAAAATAGGTAACACATTTGGCAGAGACCTTATTAGTATATATATGGAGAATCAGCTGGTGATAGATCAGTTGTTTACATGTCTGTCTTCCCCTCTAGGCTGCATTTCTTTAAGAAAGGGACCATGAAGTTTTTATTTCTTTCAGCTCTAGTAACATGCTTGACTTTTAGTAAATGAATAAATAAATGAAAGGAATAATATATGTCATATTTTTATGGAAATCAGTAAGTAATGAGAATCTGTTGACAACTTTTAAACTAGGGATAACCTAATCATTGCTAGGGTTAGGAAAAATAAGGCTGCATAATAGACTAGAAGACTAGGTTTTGAGGCTAACTTGTACTATTTTGGATATGAGTCTAAGAGATCATTACATGAATTAGGCTAAGAGATAACAAACTAAGTTGATGGCTTTGAAAAATGGAGATTGATAATGAGGAGGCTATGCATGTGGGGGTGGGAGTGTGTGCGAAATTGCTATACTTCTGCTCAGTTTTGTTGTGAACCTAAAACTGCTCAAAAAAGTCTTTTTTTAAATGAGCTTCCTGATATAAGGCTTTATTACAAAGGAATTAATCCTAATATTGGTTGAATATTTAGTGAAGGTATAACCAAAAATATCTTCTGTGGAACTTCCCTATGCCTAGTCATCAGAATTAAACAGAACCAGTGGATGGAGTAAAGTTATGACAGCAGTTCTTTTTCTGAGTACATTCAGAGACCATCTTTTATATTTCTAAGCAAAAACAAGGTACCATCAAAATGCCCATCAATTGGGGAATGAAAACAAAATGTGATACATTTGTACAATGACATGTTGTTAAAAATCAGTAAGAAAAAACTACATTAATATCAGTATGAATAGAATTTCAAGCACGTGCTGACTGATGATGGGCAAGGTACAGAAAAATACAGTATCCCATTTATGTAAATGTGTGTGGAGTCACAGAAATTTATAGAAAAAATTGATTAACTGGATGCAAAAAGAAGTTTATGATAGTGGTTACCCATAAGGAGGTAGTGTCCGTTGGTATGGGGTAGACGGGGATGTAAAGGAATTTTAAGTTGGTTGGAAATGTCTTTTACATTAAAGTATCTAAAATTGTCAAAACAGTGACTTTTATTTGAGTTCAGGTTGCTATAGAGTTGTTTTCAACATTTTCCCCATGAACAAAAATAGTGTTCTTATGGCTTGGTTATAACGGACTGAGAAGCAAACTTGTGACCCGAATATCCCTTCATAGACTACATCTGTAAATTCATATGGTATTTTAATCATTACAAACCTATGGTGAAAACTTCTGTGGAAGTTTCTCCATAACTGGCAGCCAACTTGGACTGAAAATCTCTTGGCTCACTGTGTGCAGAGTTTGATTTTATTTTGTTTTTCTCTCTGCTTATAATTTCTATAAACTATTTGGTGGTTCATGAGGCACCTAGTCTTATTCTAATGACTATGGTGCTGAGCAAAGAAATAACAGTTTCACATATCATTTCTTCCTATAAAGAGAGTATAGGAACAAGCAAATAACACTTTTCTGTAGGAAATTCAACTGTATGGTATATGTATGAAGAAATATTGCAAATATACTAATTTATCAATCTCAAGTCACAGTGAATTTTTGTCATGCTGAATATTTCAATGACATTGCTTCTCAAATTCAAATTTTTTTAATTAAGCTTTTTATTTTGAGATAATTATAGTCATATGCACTTGTATATTTCTGTCACTGCAAGAATCCTTCATGGTGCCCTTTTTTATAGCCACACTTTTCTTTCCTCCCATCTCTGCCCTCTTTGTGCACTCGGCAACCAGTAATGTTTTCCATCTAGAATTTTGTCATTTCAAGAATGTTCCATAAATAAAATTATATATAGTATATGACATTTTGGTACTTTTTTTTCACTCCTTATAAATCTAGAAATTTATCCAGATTGTTGTGTGTGTCATTAATTAGTTGGTTCCTTTTTACTCTGAAATAGAAGTTGCCTCTAGCCCCACGGAGTTTTTAAAACACCAGGATTTACATAGCTTTTTAATTGATCTTGTAGTGAATAATGAAAGATTTAAGAAAAAGTGGCCTATCACAATGTGAGAATGAAATTCTGTTTGCTTTGTTTATTTTTAAATACATAGTTACCTAGTTTTGAATCAGTATGATTACTTATTACTAATTATTTAGAATTCAGGAGATAATGCTGAATTGTTTGAATGAAATTATTTCATTTTCTGAATAATGAAAATTTAGCCAGTTGGTTCACTTTCATACTGTTGCTCTTAATGTCAGGTTTCAGATGATGATAAAGAAAAGGCAGAGGGAGCTCTTCCAACTGGGAAATCTAAAAAGAAGAAAAAGAAAAAGAAGAAGCAAGGTGAAGATAGTTCTCCTGCACAGGTAGACAATCAAAACAGCAAACATTCATTGAGCCCATATTGCTAAAGTGAAAAAACCTCTGCTGCAGATTCTAAAAATATGAAAAGAGAAAAGAAAGCATTTGAAAAGTCACTTGTCAGGATTTTATATATCATAGTCTGATAAAAGTTGCATTGCTGTTAAAAAAATCATATCAAAGGTATAAATTCCAAAATAAGTAAAATTCCAAACTAGATGCATTTTGGGTTATATTATGGTGAAATGGAAAAGGAGATACACTATTTTGTACATACAAAAATTCCCTTCACATAACAAATTTAGCACAATTAGGAAAACCGTGTGTATTTGGAGTATTTCGTTGAACTCTGAATGTGCTAGCTATTCCATTTAGTATCCTTTCCTGCTGTTTTGGTTTCTAACAAACTTTCCATTTGTTTCAGTCCTGTATTTTCTTTTTGTTTCTTTGATCTTCCCTATCTGTGAAAAATTTTTTTAGATTACTATATAGATGAAAACAAAGATTTTAATTTCAAATACATAAAGTTATCATAAACACACAAATTTATTTTGAAAGCACTATCTTCATTACATTATAATGTACAGAAATCTCATTTTTTACTTTCAGGCATGTGAATAAGTAATTGTTTTCATTCCTTTCAATATAGGAGATAGCCAGAATTCCTAGAGGAATAATCTACATAGTAATTCTCCTATTTATTCTATTTGGAAAAGTTTCTGAAGGACTTCTTAGGAAATAATGTGTTATGAAGCACAATCCTTCATAAATTATACAAATCCATTACTAATATTAGTTTTTTCTCCCATGAGCATTAAGGCTAACATGACTACACTACATATAAAAACCTGAAACTCCACAATAGGTGTGCTTAACTGAGGTAGCTGATGAGAAATGTTATCGACAGCTACCCTTTGTTAGTGATATTACCTGAAATCCATTTAGCCAAACATTTCCTAGATTTCTGTGACTTCAGTTATAGCCTTTACTAATACTGCTTTTCAGGCTTGTGGATTAGGTGAGTTTCTTTTCAAAGAAATTTGATAGATTGGATATATTCTATACATTTCACCTTAAACTTGCCAAAGGTCATTAAAATGTGAAAGTTCTTTGGTACTCTGATACTTCTTCTAAAAAAATTTTTTTTTTCAAATATAGTGAATAAGTTACATACTTTAGAGTCAAATCTGGATTCACATTTTAGTTCTGTCATTTGCCAGTTTTTTGTTTTAATTGTTTTACTTTGTACAAATTACTCAACTGCATAAGTTGCTTTGAGAATTAAATGAGGTACTCATTATGAGAGGTTCTGCAAGCATATAGCACATGGTATTCTATCAATAAATTGCTAATTTTAGAATTTGTTCTCTTACCAGTAAAGTGTTTTGTTTTGTTTTATTGAGGTAACATTGGTTGATAGCATTGTATAAATTTTAGGAGTACTGTTTCACAAACCTCTTCAAATGTGTCACAAACCACACATCATCAGAGTAGTAAAATTCTTTTTAGGTATGTTATGTGGTTGGTGATTTTCTTCACTGTTAGTGTTCAACTTAAAATGAAAATAAATTGATGTCTTCTCATTAACTTTGTATAGATTACAAATCTTACATGCATTCTGTCAAAGCTACTTGCTCAAATTAAATCCACAACAAAATTTTGAATTACTGTCTAACTCATATTAAACAAGTTTTATAAATATTATTGAAAGGATACTTTCAAGATTATCTTGGCCTTTGTTAAAAAGAACAACCATTTATATGTTTGTGTTTACTTAAGAACAGTGCAGCTCACACTGATGTCCTGTTTAGTGTATTATAGTTCACACTTATGTCACATTTAATATGCTTTAAGATTATTTTGCTGAAACTTTTTAAAAGTTTGAAGGCCCAGAAATGGAAATGCTGAAGTTTAGATAGGACCTTATGGGGGATTATCCGGGCAAAATTTATTTTATAGTTGAGAAAAGTAAGGTTCACAGAAACTAAATGATTTGTCCCTAGGATTTTACAGCTGGGCTGTGGCATAACCAAGATTAAAATTCCTATCTCTGTCCTTTCTACTATGTAAGCTTAATTTATCTAGAAAATGCACAAATGTATAAACATTCTATTTCCTGAAAATGTCATATGTGGTGCTATTTCTAGTCTTAGCTCATTTATCAACTAATTCACTGTGTAATTATTTAAAAGGAAAAATACTTGCTTATTCCATTTGAGTTGATTTAATAAGTTGAATAGTTTTCATTTTGAGAGTTAACTTTATCATTTCTTAATTCACAGTTGATTTAAATCCCTGAGGAAACAAGGGATGATGAATATGTTTCAAACCTACCTATGTATTACAACTCTAAATAATTGTTTTATATGCTCTTTTAAGTTACTTGGACAGTTTCTAAAATGAAATTAACCTCTTAAAATATCTGCTGGGTGTTATTATAACAAACCAAATAAATTTTCATTAGTAAAAATGAATGATGACTATCATCTAATAGATTACTTTTCTTTATAGGACACAGAAGAATTAGAAAAAGAGATTAAGGAAGAGCTTCCAGTGAATACCTCTAAAGTCCGTCCAAAACAGGAAAAAGCTTTTTCTTTGAAGACCATAAGCACTAGTGATCCAGCTGAAGCACTTGTCAAAAATAGCCAGGTAATTTTTTTATATTTAAAGAATAACATTTTAATGACTTAGAATTATCATAACTAATATTCTATTGAAGTACCATGATAAGCACTTGAAATACACTAATTTATTCCTCACAACAACCCCCTGAGAAAGGTAGGATCCATTATAAAAGTGACGTTAGAGATATTTAATAATATGTCCCAAGTGATACAACTGTCAGTGGCAAAACCAGAGCCCCTAGACTGTATTGCATTCTGTAAAGAATCTAGGCATGGAAGCGATAAATAGCCTAGAGAAAATGGGACTGCTTGCATTTTTCCCAAAGCGTGCACATGTGACTTTAGTTCAACCTCTCAAAATACAATTTTTTTAAAATTTGGTGACATGGTCTTGAACTTTGTGCCTTCTCTTAATATTTTTCACTTTGTCAGGGAGTATCATTTTACAGAAGGTCTTGACTGTAACACAAAAACCATAGCTCTTTAAAATCTGATTTCTAATGAGGTAAATTACATCATATTGAAATACCTTAAGTCTTATTAGAGTTCCATGTATTATTTATACTCATACAAAGAAATGTATTGAGAACGTATTACATAATACCACACACTACTTGAGCTTCTGGAGATACATCATAGAACAAATCAAAGAACATTTCTGATTTTGCGAAGATTACATATTTAACAAAACAATTTTTAAAGATTTATTTTAGTTTTATTTATTTATGCATACAAGAACTGGAGTATAGGCCAGAGGTGCAGGGAGTGAGAGGAATCACCAGGGACAGAGTAGGGAGCAGAACAGGCAGATCTACTGAAATACACTGCTGAGGGGAACAGTGAGCAAGACAGGAGAAGTCTGCTGAGCCATGTGGTTTAGCTCTCTGGCCAGGGATCGAACTCATGCCACAGTGACTGGCAATAGCTTGATAGCGCTGAGACTATAACCCCTGCGCCACCAGGGAGGCCCTAAAACAGAAGCTTAATCATACTTCCTTTTTGGATTTGTTGCTTTAAATTCCTTAACAGTATTTTGAGATAAAAGGATAAAAACTCATTACATGTTTTAGGTTTAATAATAGGACTACAAAAATTTGGTCATGGACATTTTGAGATTCCACTTCATAAGTCATTTTTATTTATTTATTTTTTAAATATTTATGCATACAAGATGTGGGATGTAGGCCAGAGGCTCAGCAGGTGAGAGGATTCATCAGAGACAGAGGGAGGAGTATAATAGGCAGATTTACTGAAATACACTGCTGAGGGGAGCAGTGAGTGAAACAGGAGAGATCTGCCATATGTGGGTTGGCTTCCTAGCCAGGTATTGAACTCAGGCCATGGCAGCAACAGCTCTGACACTAACCCCTATGCCACCAGGGAGGCCCCCATAAGTCATTTTTAGAAGCCATCTTATAAAGAATATTTGAGCCCCTCTGTGATTTGAGAGAGTAGAGAATGAAAGGAGATTAAAAATAAATAATCTTTTGAATCTGAAATAAACACAGGAATTTAAGGAAGCTGAACTAAGCAGCATTAAACACAACTTTAGATGCCTGCAATAGCAAGAAGGAATCCAAGTAAGTTACCTGAGTGTACATAGCTTCCACCTCATTTCCTTTCCACTTGTGTCCTCTGGAACCCAGGGAGCCTTGGATGAACAAGGGGCAAGAGAAACATTACTTACCCTTGTTTTCTCTATTCAGAATAATGGTTAAGCTTTTCAGCTTTTGGCGAAATGATTTACTCACCTATTATAGCTTCAAGACATTCCAAATATTGGAGTTTCTATCATTACCTGGTCATGACCATTCATCAACAGTTAGGCTTCTGTGAAGCAAATCAGCTTACCTTCTCTCTGCTCCCAGGTTGGAGAGGAAGAAGCAAGACCCTAAGCATTATAATTTCTCTATTAGATAAACTCCTGGAGATTTGGACCTCATTTTCACCAGTCGCTTTAATTGGCAGGACATGTAGCCACAGCCTGCTTTTGTCTGGGGCTATATTTTTCCTTGGCTAAGAAACTGAAGCTATTGCTGCTGCTATTTGAGATATCCCTGTCTCTTCAGAAGTAGACAAGTGGGTGTCACCTACTGGTAGTTCAGAAATGAGCTATTTTCTTTTTGTATTTCACATGAAAAAGATTGAGGAGTTTAAGAGTCGATGGGAAGTGAGACAGAAACTTTGAATCCCTATCAGATATAAAATCATGCTGTTGGCCCTCCCTGGTAGCGCAGGCGGTTGAGCACCGCTCTTTGTAGCTGTCCGCAGCCTCTTCAGCACGGGTTTGATCCCGGCCGGCTGGCGAGAATCCCACATGGTGAAGCAGACCTCTCCTGTCTTGCCTGCTGCTCCCCTCAGCAGTGGATATCGTCAGTCTGCCTGTTCTGTTCCCTGCTCTGTCTCCGGTGAATCCTTTCACCCTCCCGCGCATCTGGCCTGTACTCCGGTTCTTGTATAAAAATAAATAAATCTTTTTTAAAAAATCATGCTGTTATTGCAATAAAATATATATATATAATTAATGAGAAAATGGAATAATTCATTCCTCTTTGAGATTCAGTAAACATTTTCATCGATTTTCCTCAACTTGTATTTGTGGATATTGTAGGTGAAGATTTATTTGGCTTTGTCACTAGAGGGCATGCATGAGTTGTGCTGCTGACATACTGTTTGGAAACCACCTTAGTATTTTCTTGGTTGCTAAACAGCCTCTTGGTGTTACTGTGATATTTAGTTTTATTTGAAATTTTTTATAAAAATCTAAGTTTTTTTCCAAAATAGCCCATCAAGACTCTTCCACCTGCTGTTTCTACCGAGCCATCTGTTGTTTTATCAAAAAGTGATTCTGACAAGAGCTCTTCCCAAGTGCCACCGATATTACAAGAAACAGATAAATCCAAGTCAAATACTAAGCAAAATAGTGTGCCTCCTTCACAGAGTAAGTGAACCTCATCTTTCCTTCTTTCCTGTGTTTCTGTATTGTTCGTGTGTGAAGATCTAACATAATTAGACTTAGAGTTCTAATGGAGTAAAATAGAACAGCCCTTCCCTGCTTTGCAAAGGTTCCTTAGCACTTTCTGCACCTCAGTTGTATGAGGACCAAGAAACTAAAATAACTGCAGGTAAGAGAAGGAGCCAAGCACATACTCAGAAAGGACTTGGTTCCTGCCCTTATCCGTCAGATCCTCTATTCTCCTGTGCAGATGTTCTTGAGACTTCAACGTTTTCTGTGCCTTTTCCCACCTCTTTGACTGAGTAATACAAAATATTTTTTCTAGGTGAAAAGTGGTGAAATATCCAGGTGATTAAAACCAAGTGACACATTGGGATTGAAAGGAAAAGAGGAAGGCTTAGTATAACCTAAAGACATGTAGCTATAATTGAAATTTTAAACATAAAATTTGTGAACTTATTAGTGGAATGTTTCTATTATTGCTACCCTGTTAGATTTTTGGGACATAACAGTATTTGCTCACTTCTTAATGTGTTTCTCTCTCTCGCTTTTTTTCTTTTTCTTTTTCCCTTTAGCCAAGCCTGATACTAGCTGGGAATCTCCCAAACAGATAAAAAAGAAGAAAAAAGCCAGACGGGAAACGTGAAATTTTTCCCCCCCTGAATTGGACATGTGTTTGCAAACACTGTCTTGAAGATTATGCAGTTTATGCAATAATTTGTGAACATGTACAGAGTTTTATATAAATTTAAACCAATTTTTAAAACAAAACTGTGAACACAACCACCGTAAAAACGGAATCAAAGGAAAGTTAATTTATGAAATTAAGAGGTCATCAGAATATACTACAGTGCTGGAAGACACATGGGAAAGTCTTTTCCATTTAGCAAGAATGATCTTAATTTAAGAATATTCTGGTTTTACAACAGTACCCTGTTTACAACAGATTGTGCCCTATCTCATCTGCAGCTGTGGAATAAAGGAATATGATTCTCTAGAGAGTTACCTACAGATTAGTAGGCAGCTTCTTGGATCTTGTGCACTGAACTTATACCATTTGAATCTGTTTTATGCTTAAATCAAAGTGCTTTGATCAAATGCATAATCTGCCATATCTTTTACACATTTGTTGGTAGCAATTTGTATTAAAGGAATCACAAGTGCAAATAAGAAGTCATTTTCATTTGTTGAGCTAAACTGTCCTGATTTAGTTTACAATTTTTAAAGCGTTCTTAATCAAAACATTGAAAATGCAGTTGACACTAGTATGGCTTATGAAATTATTTTTGATAGTCTTACATTACTTGAATTGTTCAAAGTGCAGTATATTTTAAATTAAGAGAAAGGTAAACTATGATTTGTTTTTATACTTTTAAGGTTCAGACTCACAAATAATGCTCTTGTTTATGATTTGAAAACTCAGACAAAATCCAACTTACATTTTTCTTTTCTGTAGCAATTACTTTTTTCCAGTGTCAACTATTCTTCGTTACTAATACTTTTTGACTTTAAAAATGAAATTTTCACAAACTAGTTATACAGACAGAATTTTGAGTATATGATGGAGAGTGAAAAACTAGAGTCAGACAGCTTTAATTGACATTGTCAAGACCTCCAGTTATCAGGAATACATTTTTTTACTGCCTTAACCTGTAGTGCGTAGAATATGCATCAATTTCTTGAAGGGGATTCGTGTTTTTATAAGAATTTTCATGTAATTATTGCAATTGTGGTCAAATAAGGAACGTTTCTGCTTGAAACTGTATTGATTTAAATGATGTGTGAGATGTTCCACCATTTTCAGGCACTGTGTAATTCTATTGTAATAAACTGGCAGGTATCTTTGTAACTATAAATAGTGCATGCTCAGCCATGTACACTGTAAATAGCCTTTACCAAACGTGTTTGACATGGACCATAATTAACATCACTTAGTGAATTGTGAAAAAAAAGCCATGATTTATTTGATGTGATTGGCTTACTTGTTTTTATGTGGCGCCAAGAATGAAACTGTTTAACAGCTGTAACCAATGGTACTGATCTATCCATCCAATGTCATCTTTATTATCTTTGTGGTTTGATAGTATTGCATTGTGAGACTAGGAAAGCTAAAGGAACAAAATAGTTTTGGTTTTGCTGAAAACTGGCCTTATTAATGGACAGCTTTCCTAATAGGTGATTATTATCAGGTGTTAACATCTGTTTCAGGAACATGGCAGTATGTTTACATGTCAGAAGTTTCGTTTAATTCTATGATATTTCTAAATTGATTTGTTTAAATAAATTCAGCAAATGGATAGCATTGTTTTGATCTGCTTCAATATTGGGGTAAATAAGCTGAAGTGCCAGGAACGGATTTCTTCAAATGATTTTTTTTTTTTTTGTTAGCTTTTCATAGTGATTTCCTAAATAGACCCAAGCATTCTAAGTTGCCAGCACTTTGTAAGGGTATCATAAAGGAGAATTTGATAGGGAGTCTGTAATTTTAGAATGTGCCAAAAGGTCTGTGCTCAAAAAATAATTGAACTCTCTCAACTCTACCTCACCATTTCTTTATCTTAGAATTGTGTTGGCTATGTCAAATGTTGGACTTTATTTCTCCAGCTTAGCATCTCCCATTCAGCCACCTCTGCTAGGTGATAAGAGACACCACCTATCAAAGAGAGATGTAGTTGAAGATTGAGAAGAGTGTTGCTTAGTTGGGGTGGATCCAGCATGGAGATACCTTAGTCCCTTCTCTCTGCCTCAAGAGCTAGGACATGGATTTTGTTTTAAGAGATGGCAGCTGTGAGTGATAAAATCAGTGCATTCATTGTTCTTTACCTGTTCCAGAAGACCTTTATGTCACCTTAAAGCATTTTCTGGCATCTGAACAGATGGACTGCTTCCATCACCAATTCAGAGTGCACTAAAATCAAAGTAATGATTCTGGGAGGTTTGGAGTAAATTGTGCTCAACCTAGGGAGATAATTGATCCCTTTAGCCTTCACCAAGTCTGGAGGGGAACCTTGTTCTGATTAGCAAACAAGGCCACTAGAGAAACTGTTCAAAACTCTAATCCTGACCTGTCTCCATATACCTAATGAAAATCCTCCTGTCTTCCGGAGCAAAGAGTAGTAGTTTAGGATTTCCCAGACTGGAATCCTACTTATCTATATCCTGGATTAAACAGAATAATAAATAGTTGAGAGAGTCCAAAAAAAGGCATTGAATTAAAATGTCATTAATGTAATTTACTATTGTTTACTTTGTGCATGCATTTTATTGGGGAGGGTGGAAATGACTCATCCAAATCTAACAGTATTATTTCATAGACTAATTTGGTTTGTACTTGGGTAAAAGATATTTAAGAGCAATATTTAACTACAGAGTTTAGTTTTTCTTAATTAAAATCAGTCCTCTATTATAGTGTGAACTATCTTTTGAAATTTAGAATTTAGGTTTAAGATGTCTGATAGATATCTTAAGACTTACCTGTAAACTCATTGCACAAACTGGAATTACTTTCCAAAAGACTTAGGGAATGCAAATATGTTATTTGTAAAATGCATTGAGTATTGTAAATAAAAAAAAAAAATTTTTGTTTTGTTAAATTGCTCTTTATAGTTCTCTTGTGGGAAGGGACTTCTCAGTCATTGTGTATTCTAAGGTAGTCCTAAAGGCAATTCTTTGTGTTCTTGTTGTTTTTCTGAATCCATAGGTCCACGTGTAGGCTTTAGCACTGGGAGAATCAGTTATTTAAGCATTCTTACAATATCCCTGTTTGTGACACACAGTGTTCTCTGTGGGAGACATCTTAGCAATAGATGTAACTGCCACCACGTGCAATATTATGATTTGTGTCAACTTTTTAAATTAAGAAAATTAGATTCAAGTTTGGCACTAATGCGTTTGTATATAATACTTGAGCTGTGTCCCAAACTGACTTAAACAAGAGAGTTTATTTCTCTTGCATGTAAAAGCCTGGGAAGAGAGTCCAGGGTTACTATGCCACTTGCTGCAGAGTGTGGGGTCCAGGTTCCTACTATATTGCACCTCCCCGTTCTGAACCTGTGGCTTTCACATGGTTACCGAAGTTTGCTCCATCTAGAAGCTTCATATCAGCATTTCTACCAGCTGGAAAAAGGCATACCCCCTTCCTTTAATACAAGTTATTCACACACTTAGGCTTACCAACCCAAACTCAAATCATTTGATCCTACTAACCACAAGAGGGGATGGGAAGGAAATAAGTCTTTACTGTAGGCTCTCATGAGCCAAATTAACATTTCAGGATTTACTACTGAGGAAGCAGTGACGAATTGGATATCAGGCACAGATAAAAGTCTGTCACAGGGTTGACATACGCTGTATAAATAGTACCCAAGCATCATTTCTAAGGTCGGGTTTTAGCTTTTCTAGATGACCAGAAATTTTGAAATCACTTGAATGCTGCTCAAAGTAACAGATAATAATGTTCCAATTTACAGATTATCCAATTTACATGTAATATAGATTCTGGAAGAAATTTCTGTCACTCAGTTACTGCTTTAAATTCTAGAGATGGGCTAAAGGAAACTTCCCCCCACACACACAAGAGTCTAGATGATAACGGATTTTAGTAGAATTACCCTGTGTATAAAGTGATCTTTTAAAAACTAAAAGGCGCTACTACTATTCTTTTTCAAATACTTTAACAGAACAATGATTTCTAATCCTAGCATCAAGCCAGCCTATAAAGTACATTATAAGATGTTTGCTAACTAATAATAGTTATATAATTGAGGTTTATAAGTTGACTAATATGAAGAGAAATATAAGTAGATTCAAGGTCATCCCCATGATAATGGCATTCTTATTTGTATATTGTGTTTTCCTTTATTGTATCAGACATTCAAAATGAATATATGTAACATGTACATAAATTAAAGCATAATAAAATGAACACCTCTGAAACCACCATTCTGCTTAAGAAATAGAACATTACCAGCAGGAGGATCTACTGGGGGCAAACCTGACTTTCATTGTTCTTATTCTGGTTTGGTAATAGGTTGGTGGGGAGAGGGGGCAGTGTTGGGGAGGGCATGGATGAAAATTGCTGCTCTCAAATGTGCTAACTTGACAGAGGTCCTTTTTGGTGCCAGAACTGGCTAAGGGCTCCAGGTAATATCTAGCCTGGTCTTGGGACTGTGTCACGGCTGCTGCACTGTAGCTCTTTTCTCAGGTTTTTCCACTGACATCTGCTGGGAAATTGTGACAAATACACAGAGGCACGATAGTTCTGTGTGCATGCCGTCCCCAGAGTTGTGTAGTGCATGCTAAGTGGCAGCCTTTCCAGGAGGAAGGATGGCAAGGCTTTCTAGTAGGCAGGAGCTTCCGGGATTCAGGAAAGCAGCACCTGCTCCGCTTAGGGGAAGAGTTTTTTTTTTTTTAAATTTATTTTATTTATTTATGCATACAAGAGCTGGGGTATAGGCCAGAGGTACAGGGGGTGAGAGGATTCACCAAAGACAAAGTGGGGAGCAGAACAAGTGGTTTGACTGAAATATACTGCTGAGGGGAGCTGTGGGTGAGGCAGGAGACATTTGCTGAGGGGAAGGGTTTCTTGAGTTGTTACCAGGCTGGAAACTGACAAACACCTCAGGGTGGGAGGGGTGGCAAAACAGTATGAGTTAGCAGTACCTGAAGAGAGTGGAATTATAAATTTCTTTGCCTTCTAAATTGTCTAAGGTAATTAAAAATATTATGGGTTTATCTGGAAAAGTTACCTATTTCCATTTCCAATCAAAATTCAAATGACCACAATAATGAAAACTGGGGAAAAAACTTAAACCCAAACCAGGGAAAGGGTACATCCAAATGTCAGAAATCTGTGGGTCTTTATTTTATTAGGTAATAAAATCCAGCAATTTCTCAAAAGAAGAAAATACCAATCAAAGATGCAAGTGTGGACTGAGGTAAGGAAAGAATTAGCATTTCATCATAAAATAAAATTACAGCAGATTCTGCTGAAGGGGTATTTTACAAAGTCAACAGCCATTCCCGATTTAGGGTTTTAAAAAAAGTGAATTATTAAGGACTTCTTCATTAAAATCAAAGTAAGGGAAAGTTAACTGCTAGTCAACATGGTCTTGGAAAGGTATTGATGCAAAAAGAAAATTAAAAACTAGTGTAACAGAAAAGACATTCCTTTTTTTATTTTCTGCTTGTTTCCTGGAAAACCCAAACGATTCTAATAAAAAGCTATGAGCACTAGGAAGAGAATGCATTAAGGTGTCCACAAAAATCAATAGAATTTTCTGTACTAGAATAAGCAACCAGGGAAGGAAATGGAAAAAATTTCAATAGCATCACAACTGGAAATTCATACCTAAAAATAAATTTTCATGAACAATACAAAACCAGGTGAAAACTGTCTGAAGTCTTATTGAAGGACAGAAAACAATCAGCTGGAAAGCTGCATCGTTACTTTGGAAAACAAAAACATCAGTTCTTCAAAAATTAACAGAAATTGAGTTCAGTTCCAACTAGACCGCAACAGATTTTTTTTTAAAGTCCACCACCAGCTCAGTGTTCCGCAGGCGTCTCTGCCCCACTGGAGGCCACCCCACCACCTGTGGGTGTGCAACTGGCTTCTGCTCGGCCTCCTCTTATGTCCTTGCTTAGTCAACTCGTAGCAGAGACAAGATCATAGCCGTGTGTGACAAGCAGCCAGAGGTACTGGAAAATGAATTTTGTCTATTTGGGGGATTGATTTATTAACAGCCAAACCTGATTACCGTCCCTGACTGTTTCTGCTGCCTGCTCCACCTAGAGTATCCTTCCCATCTCCAAATAGACCAATTCTAAGAAAGAGCCACTATAGAACCTTGTCCATGATGGAACTGTCCCTGCTGTCTGATATGGAAGCCATTAGCCACAGGAGGCTATTGAATACTTACGATGTGGGTGTTGCCATGAGGAGCTGTGTCATTCAGTTGTATTGTGCTGTATTGGAAGAGTCACGTAGGCAAACACTTCAAGATCAGTTTAAATACAATCTGCTGGAATTATTGTCTGACAACTCAGTACTCATTCCTGTCTCTCTCTGTCTCTCTGTGTCTCTCTTTGTCTCTTATACACACACACACACATTTAAGGACACAGTCACCCCGCACCCCAGCCCACGGTGCAGCCCTGACCTGCCTCTGTAGCACTATTGCTTTTACTCCATTGTACTTATGGCTGCCCGATCTTCCACACTTTCCTCCAGTGAGGAAGGTCTTCTACATCTGTTATTCTTCTGTACCCTTAAGAGTGTCCCTCACACAGCAG